TTTTTTTTTTTTTTTTTTTTTCTTTAATAAAGAGAAAAATAATAAATAATTTATTTAAAATAAGACAAATTATTAGATGTTAAAAAATATTTAATATTTATTTTATTAACTATGTAACAGATATATGAAATGCAAATAGAAAGATTAAAAAATGAAAAAACTCAACTTTTAAATCATATAAGGGCAATAAAATTGATACTTCAAAAATTAGAGTAATGAAAAAAAAAAAAAAAAAAAATTTTATTATCTTTTCATTTTCATTATGAGAATTTTAAAATGAAAATAATTTATAATTAAAAAAAAAAAAAAAAATTACTTACAATTTAAGACATAATGATAAGCAAAGATTAATTGATATTACTGTAAATTCAAGTAACTGTATAAATAAATTAGAAGAAAATATTTCTCTTGCAAATAAATTAATAAATTTTAATAACTTGTGTAGGTTAGAATTACAATTTTAAAGAGATAAAATTCAAAATATAATTAAAAAAAAAAAAGAGAAAATATTATATATTTTTAGATGTATAACAATACCATATTAATTTTTTTTTTTTTTTAAGGAAGTACGAAACTGAAAGACAAAAAGTTTTTTCAAGTTTAGATTCTTCTCATGAAAAGAAAGAAGATATTATTAGTGAAAATGAAAAGGAAGAATATTTTGTAACAAAAAAAAAAAAAAAAAAAAAAAAAAATTAAAATATTAAAATAACTCAATAACTTTGTTGTTTCTTTATTTTTTTTTTTTATTCATAAGAAAAATATAAAAAACAAAAATGAAGATGATGCTTATCTGCTGGAAAACTTTTTTAAAAGGCAGAACAAAACAATTTTAGATGTGTATGCCAAATAAATAAATATATATATATATATATATATTTTATTTTTTTATTTTTAATAAATATATATTTTTTTATTTTCTATTATAGATTTATTTTAAAGAAAGAATTAAAAACATTAAAAAAGAAAAATAAAGAGTACAATAAAATTTTAGATGAATTAGAAAATAAAGTTAATTTAAATAAGAAAGTCAAAATTAAAAAGAATGAATTTGTTATTAAGGCCTTAGAGAAATAGTCATAATTTTTTTTTTTGTTTTTTTTATTAAGACTATAAAGAAAAATTATTTTATATATTAAAAGTGCTTCTCTATTAAAAAAAAAAAAAAAAAAAAAAAAAAAANAAAAAAAAAAAAAAAAAAAAAAAAAAAACTTATATATATATTAGGTGTTATATGAATAAATTTTTTTCTATTTTTTTTTTTTTTTTTTCACAATTCATAAAATATATTCTATTTAAATTATAATGAAGAAATTTAAAAATATAAAATCATAATAATAATAATAATAATAATAAATTATAATGAATTTTCATATTTATTTTTTTAAAACTTTTGCTCGTTTTCTTTGTATAAAAAATGAAACACCATATTTTTTTAAAAATGGCTCTAGAATATTAATTAATGAAAAAAAAAGTTATAATATCAATTATGTGGAAAAAGAAAATAATAAATATACATTAATTAATAATATTCATTATATAAAAGAATCAGATTTTTTTAACAGACTTATAAAAATATATATTGATATTATTTTTAATTTTTCAAAATATCCTTTACATGTTCAATGTTTACATATTTTTTGTAAAAAAAAAAAAAAAAAAAAAAAAAAGAATAAAATGATTTTTAAATAGAAATATTTCTATATTAATATATAAATGAAGTCTTATTAAAATTTTTTTATATTTACTGCTTTTAATTTTTTTCATAAATTAGTATATATTTATAATTATTATATATAAATATAATTAGAATTTTATATAATTATTTTCTATGTTATATATTTACTTTTTTTCAGGTAAAAAAATACTAAAAGAAAAAATTGAAAATGTTAAAAGTAGTTTAGAACACAAAAAAGTTTTGTATAATAGTGATAATATAAAGTTTGAGAATTTAAATGAATATTTAGTCAATTTAAATAAAGAATCAATAGAAAAGAAAGAAAGTGAGGAATACTTCAATAAAGTATTTGAAAAAGTTAAAAAATTTTATTATTATAAAAATGTATTATATGCATTATTTACATTAGAACATAATAAAATAATTTTTAATTATACTGAAAATTTATTAATAAAAGATTTGCAAAATTGTCTTATTAACTCAACTTTAAATAATAGCAAAGATATTTATAGATTTATAAAAAAGAATGGTCAAGATAACATATATATTTATATTATAGAATTTTCAGATAATTTATATATTTTAAAAAAAAGATATAATTTTATTAAATATCTATTTTATAATAATATGCAAAATAAATTATAAGTATATAAATTGATAAAATTAAAAAAGTAAACTATTACATATTAGAATTACAAAAAAATAAAATCTCAAATGTTTATTTTTTTTTTTTTTTTTATTTGTTAATTATATATTTAAAAAAAAATAAGTATATATATTATTACAAATTCTTTAATTTTTTTTTCAATTTTAGTTATATTTTTTTGTATATATGCTTTATGTTAAACTAAAAAAAAAAAAAAAAAAAATTGAGAAAAAAATAATTTGTTAACATATATTTTTAAAATAAGAAAAGATTTATTATAGTACTTTATATACATAGGTCTTTTTTTTTTTTTTTTTTTTTTTTTTTTTTTTTTTTTA